CGCCAACTATACGCTGCAATGCAGGAAAAACATCTCTTTCCTTTATCCACTGGTGAACCAACATATTGGCCAACTGACACATGCAAGACCCCGGATCTTATAGATTTTGCAATATTAAAAGGTATAAACCTGGCCTATTTTACAGTTTCTTCCTGTTTTGATTTATCGTCTGACCACTCGCCAGTGCTCATCAGTTACGAAGGAGAGGTAAAATATAAACAAAAAAAGAATCTAGTATACAGTAAGAAAACGGATTGGAATAGATACCGTGACATAGTAGAATATAAATTAACCTGTGATATTCCTCTAAAAACAACAAATGATTTAGAAAACTCAATTAAAAACGAAAATAATTCTTGACGCGGTGAAAGAATCCACTCCTAGGGCTACGACGAAAGCAGATGCTCCGTTTATACAAAAAAAAATTCTTGACAAAATCTAAGAAAAGAGAAAACTGAGGAAAAAGTGGCAGTCTACTAGACTGAAACAAGATAAACCAATGTTAAACAAAGTAACTAAGAATCTGAAACAGTTACTGAGAGTGGAACAAAATAATAGTATTCAATCTTTTTTGGAAAACCTTTCCGCGAGTGAAGCTTCCGACTACTCACTCTGGAAAGCTACTAAAAACATAAATCGCCCTGTACAACATATACCATCCTTAAAAAAGCCAGACGGAAAATGGGCTAGATGCGACTCCGAAAAAGCATATAGCTTTGCAGAGCACTTAACAAAAGTATTTGAACCAAACCCTGCGGAAATCACCGAACAAGAGGAAAAAGAACTACTCAACGAACAGATTATGCACAAAGAAGAAACAGTTTTTAAAAACGTCAAACTTAAAGACGTTAAACGTATTATTATAAATTTAAAAAATAAAAAATCACCTGGTGACGATAAGATAAGTGGGAAAATGATCAAGGAACTGCCTCCCAAAGCGTTCAGACTAATCACGATCATAATCAACGCAATGTTTCGTCTACACCACTTCCCGGACCAATGGAAAAATGCGCAGATTATACTTATTCCAAAACCTGGTAAATGTCCAGAATTAATTACATCTTACAAGCCAATAAGCTTGCTCACTGTTTTATCGAAAATTGCAGAAAAAGTAATCCTGAAAAGGATCAATTTGATAATACAATCAAAAAAACTAATTCCAAACCATCAGTTTGGTTTTCGAAGTTATCACGGCACAACCGAACAAGTCAACAGAATAACTGCAAAAATAAGAAATGATCTGGAGAATAAACGTTACTGTTCCGCAGTCTTTCTTGATGTGGCGCAAGCGTTCGATAAAGTCTGGCACAAAGGCCTTCTTTATAAACTTAAAAAGCATCTCCCTGAGACTCTTTACCTATTGCTCGAATCGTATCTAAAAAACAGAACCTTTCAAGTAAAGGTAAATGGCGAGACAACAAACAACATCAACATCAACGCGGGGGTTCCACAAGGCAGTGTCTTGGG